AAAGAAATAGCTATATATATATATATATATATATACACATATATATATATTTATAAAGCAATTTTGGAAACAATATAAGATGTTCATTTACATCTACAGAATATATCTTATCTTCTTCACTCTAGGACTCTAGGAAAACAAACAACACAATACTTTATTTCCTCTGAAGATCTTCCCATATCTGGCAATAACAATCTTTCCCGTGCAGTTGATGCCCATTTCTCTTTCTAGTTTGAAAAAATCTTCAGTACGAGCGTAGTTTACATATACAAGATCTCCCTGTAGGAGAAACAAAAAAGAAAAACAATACATACCACTGCTATAATTAAAGAGAAAATCGAAGAATAAGTTTGCTCCACAACACTGCATCATCAAATGCTGTCTTTCCTGCTTGGGCTCAATAGACAGGTCCATGCTAATTCTACAGAAGTAGAAAATATTTCAATATGCTCAAAAGTTTTTAAAAAAATGACAATATGTAAAACATTTTAAACCATGTATCCAACTTTGAAGAAACTACCAGCGTACACTGAGTTGTGGGAAGTAGGATTAAATAAAAGTCATTTTAAAATCCCAGCTATGTTTAATTTCCAACTATGGAGTTCATCTTAAAATGTCTATAGTCTGATCTATAAAATCACATCTATAATTCTGTAACAAAGTCAGGCTATGAACAAAGAAAAAAACTTATAAAAACATCTATTGCTCTTACTGAATTAAAGGCATGTTCAGCATTTCTTTATTTCAAAAAAAGTGGCATTTGGTCCATCAGGGTCTCTTTTTGTGTTATTTATTTTCTTTCTTTTTCTGTTGTTCTTTTTTTTAGGAAGTGTGTGAATAGCACTGAACCTGAAAGATCAGCATGCATGGTCCTCCTAATCTCTTCGATTTAGTCCTCCACATAGGTTTTGTATAACAAAAGAAGTTTTAAAGAGTTGAATAAGAAAATGTCTTTTATTTTACCTCTGGTGTGCCTTGGGCTGAGAAAGCATTATATGGCGGTACAATATCTGTAACATTCTCATATCCATCTGGTGGCGGCTCAAGGTATGATGTTTTAAAAATCTAGCAAGCAATGAAACACATGACATTAGAAAGAAGCTTTCTAGATTGCTATTAAGGAATAATACATCTTGCCCCAAGTATACACTTAAGATTAAGCATCCTGAAACTAGGTTCTGTAATCAAATAGATAAATTCCACTGGCAACAAGGAGAAAGAGCCTTATCATCGTTATTGTCTTCAAAATCATGGAAACTTCTATACATGCATGCAATTTGGGGTAACTAAAAGTTCCCACGTGATGTATAAAAACAGGCTTCGAAGGTGGCACTCTCATGATTCTCCTATTCCTTTCAGCTGTCTCTCATCTGTATTTAAATAATATTTCCCTGTGTTTTGTCTGCAGTACAGTGCTAGCCTCATTCCATACTCCCTTCCTGGGAGGTTTCATTGACTTAAAATTTTACCCATACCTGATATGCTTATGATGCCCGGCCTTCCAGACATGTATTTAAGGGCCTGATGGGCATTTCAGCGTGGATGTCCAAACTCAACTTCCTTAACTTTGCATTTATCTTCTCTCATCACAGGTCTACTTCTGCATTCCCTACTGCTACTATGAGCATCACTAGCTAGCCACCCACACCAGATGCCTAGGAATCAAACTGAACCCTGTCCTCCCCTCCTTCCTCCAATCACTAGTCAAGTCCTGCCAATACTGCTTCCTAACTATTTCTCAAATCTATCCCTCTTCCTCGTTCCTGCTAACATCCTAATTCAGGACTTCATCATCTTTTACCTGCACTGTTGTCTTAGACTCCAACCTTAACTCCTTGCCTGGTCTAGGTCTAACCTGCAGACTGCCCAAACTATCTGAGTGCCTCTCTAACCACACCCTTCCATTTTGCTATGACTTGTCAATGGTTTCACTGACTGAGGTTGAATACCTCGCTCCTTAGGACAGTGTATAAGCCCTTCCATGACCTGCTCCCAAAACATATACAGTTGACCCTTGAACAACACAAGTTTGAACTGCAAGGGACCACTTATAAGCAGAAAATTTTCAATAAATATGTACAATACAGTAAATGTAATTTCTCTTATGATTTGCATAACTTTTTTCTAGCTTACTTTATTGTAAGAATCCTATATAATAAAAGGGTAATGTGCAAATGGACCCTAACAGAATGACTGGTTGTATGATGCACACTGACCACCAGGGGGCAGACGCTCAATGCAGGAGCTTCCTCCTGGTGGTCATTGCGCTTCCACAGGCGGAGTGCCGCTCAGCCAGAAGCTGGCTCATGGCTGGCCAGCACAGCCGCAGTGATGGGAGCCTCCTCTGCAGCACTAAGGAGGAGGGCTCCTGGGCTGCCAGAGGATGTCTGAGTGCCAGCTTAGGCCCGATCCCTCAGGGAGCGGGCCTAAGCTGGCAGGTGGACATCCTCCAAGGGGTCCCCAACTGCGAGAGGGTGCAGGCCGGGTTGAGGGACCCCCTGAGTGCACGAATTTTCATGCACTGGGCCTCTAGTATAGTATATAATACGTATAACATACAAAATATGCATTAATTGACTGCTTATGTTACCAGTAGGCTTCCTGTCAACAGTAGGCTATTTGTAAAGTTTTGGGGAGTCAAAAGGTATTCATGGATTGTAGGTCGGCACTCCTCACCCCTTGTTGTTCAAGAGTCAACTGTATACTGATTTCTCTCTTATTGTGGCTCGCTTTATTTTTTTTTCATGGCTCTTAAAATACAGAAAATCTTTAAATTCCCCAATAATATGAAATTAGTACATCTCCATTTTTGCCAATATTTTCTCTTCTCCCTAGAATTCTCTTATCTTGCTTTATTATATGATTAATTAAACCTTAGAGCCCTAACCGATTTGGCTCAGTGGATAGAGCATCAGCTTGCAGACTCAAGGGTCCCAGGTTCGATTCCGGTCAAGGACATGTACCTTGGTTGTGGGTACATCCCCAGTAGGGGGTGTGCAAGAGGCAGCTGATTGATGTTTCTAACCCTCTATCCCTCTCCCTTCCTCTCTGTAAAAAAATCAATAAAATGTATTTTAAAAAACACCTTTAGAATCTTCATGATTCACACATCAACTCTTTTGGGAAGCCTTCTATGACTTACAGGGAGGTATGAACAAAAAAGGGGGTTCTATGGAAAGTAACCTTACAAGATGATCTGATCATAAATTCCTAACTGGGCAGGTCATGATGGTAGTCACACCCTAAACATATAACATTTGTTGATTTCTTTAAAAAAGTTTATTATCACACATTTGTAATACCTTAACCAATAAAGAAATTTAAAAAAGTTTATTATCCCATTTAAGTACAATGCTCATTTACATATTTCTCCATAATTGTCTTTTGTAAAAATAGACATATAACTTTTTAGTAAAAGGTTGACCTTTGCCTTAAGCAAGCACTGTCCATTGTTTCTGTGCATTTAGGTTAACACACCTTTGAAATAACCACCCTCAAGAGAGCTCATAATCTTGTTAATTATCCTGTAATTCAATCCCCACTTTGTTTTCTCACACCTCCATGTGATCTTCCTATGTTCCCTCCTTAATTTCAAATGCATAAAAAGTTGCAACCAGGAATATGACATCAGTTGGACCCAAATAAACTCGTATAATAATTTTCTACAGGTTTGGATGTTCTTACATCAATACTGGGCCATGTGACCCTTTTCATTGTAGATAAAGAACCCAATCAAACTCTTCAGAGCACTTACCACGTTGATTTGAAATGATGTGTTCTAATGTCTGCCTGACCTTATGTACAACAGAACCATGCCCTAGTCTTCATTCTGGTCACCGGACCTAGCACTGTGCCTGGCACATAGTAAACACTGAATAATTAGTTTGCAACTTAACTTTTCTAGAAAACATGAGTTCCAGTGCACTCTTAACAAATTGATCTTTACTTGACCCTAAATTCCAATTCATGTGAAAAGGTGGAGTTGTAAATTATGAGAAGTACCAACAATTCTACATCACCTCAATGCCATGTTCATCCACAATTGATATATAATTGGCATTTGTCTCATTAGGGTAAGACAGGAGAACATCATAATGAACCAACTTGGCAGAGTCCAGTCCAAATTTCTTCCACTGGGTTTGGATTTTCTTGGCAAGCAGCAAATTTTGTTCTGTTCCAGCCAGATGAGGGAGCTTTGTAAACGAACTAAAATGAAAAGAGAACACAAGGGGGAGTTAGCGACTACTCTTTTCAGATGATGTGCCTAAGAACTATTCTAAATGCGTGACTCATACTGTAGGCATTAACTTATCATTTCTGTATCAGAGAGAAGTAAAAAACCCATCGAGCATTACCCATTTCTCGATGTGCCAGTGAGGGGGAGCAGAGATGGCCACCTCAAAATGAGCCTTTTGGGGTACTGATTATTTTAAGCTGGTTATTTCCAAGAAATAAACATCTCAGAAAAAAATGTTTGGCCTTTCCCTCTACTGCCTGAAAGGAATTCTAATGGAGAACCTGCATCTGAAAGGGAGATATCATCACAGGTAACTATAGTTTGCTATGAGCCAAATCTGATAGACAGGAAGGAATCTAGCAGGCCCATTTGATCAAAGTCCTCTCTGTGTGCCGTTGTTTAAAATACCTATTTACCAATAAATACAGGTGACTTGCTGTCGTGCTCTTTGAAGTCCCATGTGATTTGCATTCCTGCCCTTTGAAGTCCCAAACCACAAATGCCCTTCCTTTTAGCTCCAGGTGCAATACCAGCCTGAACTGCGGGGTCTGTCCTCCGGCCCCATATTCTTATGGGACCCCCGTGTATACATATGCAATAAATTTGGTTATTTTCTCCTGTTAACCCATCTTATGTTAGTTTATCAGTCCAGCCAGAAGACCTTGGAGGAAAGGTAGGAGGAAAATTTATTTTTCTGCCCCACTCCAGTTTGTTTCTTTTTAAAATATGTTTCTATTGATTTCAGAGAGAGGAAGGGAGAGGGAGAGAGAGACAGAAACATCAATGATGAGAATCACTGATCAGCTGCCTCCTGCACGCCTCCTACTGGGGATCAAGTGGAAACCTGGGCATGTGCCCTGACTGGAAATTGAAGCATGATCTCCTGGTGGAGCCACACCAGACAGCTGCTCCACCCCAGTTTTTAAATGTTTGTGTGTAGCTACAGGTTTCACATCATGCTCCCCTGGAAAAGAACACATTTCATGGTAAACACATACAATCAGTAGAGGCTCAGATGAGAACTCACCCTAGACAAACATCACGCCTCTGTACCAGCGGTGTGACTTCTTGCTGCTCATCAGTAAGCGAGGACATTTTGGGCCAGTTGGGCAAGTCTATTTAACACTATATATATTTACATACTGTTGCTTTATCATTTTGTATGAAATTGTTTATTTATCTCGCTAAAGAGAAAGTCCCTCCTGCTTAATTCCTGCCTGTGACCTAAGAATTATACAATAGAGGTTTGTTTAATTGAGTTTGGGCAATGTTCTCTTGGTTCTGAGTTTAAATGATTGGGAACATTCACGTGACCTCACAAATGTAGTTCTAAATGAGATATATTTTGCTTGAGGTAAGTAATATTTTAAAACTATTTCCCAAACCCCTTTCCCCATCAGAACAATAATACTTTCGTAAGTTGGTTTTTTAGTCAACCAGAGGACAACCAAAAAAGGAAAATTAACATTTATTGAAAACTTACCAAATGCCAGGAACTATATGCCAGGTACTTGCACATGGATTATCTCATTGAATTCTCACAATCCCTTTTCTATTGTTCCCATTTTGAAAATGAGGAACCCTGGCCAGTGTGGTTAGATTGTTGGCCTTTAGATTTAAGGGTTGTGGGTTTGATTCCTGGTCAAGGGCACATACCTGGGGTGCAGTTTCGATCCCCAGCCTTGGTTGGGGGCACGTATGGGAGGCAACCAATTGATGTGTCTCTATCACATCAATGATGTTTCAGTCGTGCGCTCTTTCTTTCTCCTCCCTCTCCAATCCTCCCTACACTTACTCTCTAAAAAAAAAAAAAAGGGAAAGAAAAGATACTAAAATCTTCCTTTAAGAGATATCAGATACAAAGGAACTGGGATCAAATGGCCCCCAAATCTCAACAGCAATCTTGAAGGCTAGAAAACACTGAAGCCATGAGTTCAAATTTCTGAGAGTAAATGTACCACAGCTTTCTTATATATTCATTTACTGATGGACACAAACTAGATCACCAACTTGCACCATACACAAGAAAAAACTCAAAATGGATTCGACTTAAATGTAGCCATGAAAACATAAAAATCCTAGAAGAAAACATAGGTAGTAAAGTCTCAGACATTTCTTGTAGCAATATTTTTTCTGACATATCTCCTCTGGCAAGGGAAACAAAGGAAAAGAAAATAAGTAAATGGGACCACATAAAAATAAAAAGCTTTTGCACCATCAACAAAATGAAAAGACAACCCACTGAATGGGAGAACATATTTACCAATGATACATCAGATAAGGGGTTAATATCCAAAATTTATAAAGAACTTATACAATTCAACACCAGGAAAACAAATAATCCAATTTAAAAATGGGCAAAGGACCTGAATAGACACTTCTCCAAAGAGGACTTATAGATGGCCAACAGACATAAGAAAAGATGTTCAAGGTCATCACAGAAATCCAAATGAAAACCACAATGAGATATCACCTCAAGCCTGTCAGAATGGCTATCATCAATAAATGAACAAACACGTGTTGGCGAGGATGTGAAGAAAAGAGAACTCTCATGCACTGTTGGTGGGAATGCAGATTGGTGCAGCCACTATGGAAATAGTATGGAGTTTCCTAGAAGGTACATTTTAATTGTAAAGAAAATGGTAGGTTAAAAATAAGTGAATGAAAGAAGACATACCATGCAAATATAACATAAGAAGGTTGATGTGGCTATATTTATACCAAATAAAATAGATTTAAAGATAGACATTATTACCAAAGATAAAGAAGGACATTTCATAAAGAAAAAGGGTAGTTCTATCTTGAGGCCATAACAAATTATAGTGTATATACCTCATAAATGAGCCTCATAATATATAAATTAACAATTTACAGAATTAGAAAGAACAGATAATTTCACATTCCCATAGGAGACTGGAAAGTCATTCCTGATAGAATTTGGATCCCTACCCCAAATCATTAAAGAAATAAAAGAATTGCTAACCAGCTAAAGAAGAAATATCATAAGATCATATAAATTGAAGCAGATAAACCATGTGACAATATTTAATACTCATTCATGATTTAAAAAAAAGAAACAAGAAAACTTCTGCCATGGCTGGATAGCTCAATTGGTTAGAGCATTGTACCAATATGCCAAGGTTGAGGGTTTGATCCTTGGTCAGGGCACATAAAAGAATCAACCAATGAGTGCATAAATAATTGAAACAACAAATCAATGTTTCTCTCTTGCTCTCTTTCTCCTTCTTTCTCCCTCCTCTCCCCCCTCTCTCTCTTTCTCTCTCTCTCTCTCTCTCTCTCTCTCTCAAAAAAAAATCAATAAACAAAATTTTTAAAATTTTCTTAGCAATGTTGGGATAGAGCAGAGTTTCCTGAACTCAATAAAAAGCATCCACAAAAAATCTACAGATAACATCACAAAACTCTGAATTTAATAGTAAAACTCTGATTTAGAAACAGGGGAAGGATGTTGGCTCTCATCACTTTTATTCAACACAGTACTGGAATTTCAGTCAGTGCACACACACACCCACAAACAAAGACCAAAAAGAAGGAAGAGAAGGAGGAGGAGGAGAAAAAGGCATACAGTCAGTGTACTGGAGAAAGTAGACACATAGGTTAATAGAACAAATAGAAACCCAGAAATAGACTCGCATAAATATATTCAACTAATCTTTGACAAAGGCGCAAAAGCGATTAAATGGCAGAAGGATAGCATTTCAACAAATGGTGCTGGAAACATTGGACATCCATAGGCAGAAGAATAAACCTCATCAAACATTGTACCATATGTAGAAATTAACTCTAGATGAATCACAATGTGGGGGTGGAGGGGTGGGGAAAGGGGAAAAGGGATCTAGGGCTACTCACTTGAACCTAAAAGCATGATCCATAAAAGGAAAAACTGATAAACTGGATAAACTAAACCTCATTAAAATTAAAACTTTCTGATCTGCAAATGCCCCATCTATACTAATAAAAGAGTAATATGCTAATTAGACCGGGAGACCTTCTGGAGACCTTCCAGACAAAGCCAGGGGCTTGGCCAGCCTGCAAACTGCACCCAGGCATTCGCCCAGGCTGCCCCACCCCCAGCAGGGACCCCCACTCGGATGGGGGCATGGCAGGCCTGCAAATGGCCCTCAGCCCCTTACCCAGCCCAGCCCCACCCCTAACAGATACCACCCCAATGGGAGCATGGTCAGCCTGCAAACTGCCCTAGCCCCTCTCCCAGGCTGGCCCTGCCCCCCAAGGGAACCCCCACCCTGATCCGGGACCCCCTTCAGGGCAGACAAGCTGGCACCCACCTGTGCAACAGGCCTCTATCTATACTAATAAAAGGGTAATATGCACTTTAGACCGGACATCCTTCCAGACAAAGCCATGGTGGCGGGGCCAAGGCAGAGGTAGTTAGGGGGGATTAGGCCAGCAGGGAGAGCAATTAGGGGGATCAAGCTGGCAGGGGAGGGCAGTTAGGGGGATCAGGCCGGTGAGTGGTTACAAGCCAGCGGTCTTGGGATTGCGAGAGGGATGTCCAACTGCCGGCAGTCGGACATCCCCCGAGGGGTCCCGGATTAGAGAGGGTGCAGGCCGGGCTGAGGGACACCCCCCTTCTGTGCACAAATTTCATGCACCGGGCCTCTAGTTAATTATGAAAGGACAAATAACAGACTGGTAATATATATATACACACCACAAAGCTTACAAAAGAATTGTATCTGGAAAATATAAGAACTCTCAAAACTCAAAAGAAAAAAACAAACACGAACTTGCTGGAAATAGGCAAAAGAAAGGAACAGACATTTTAGTGAAGAGAATATACAGATGGTGAATAAGTACAGGAAAAGAGGTTCAATATAATTAATTAGCCACTTGGGGAATGATAATTAAAACCACAGTGAGGTATCACTGTGCATGTGTCAGAATGAGGAAAATTTAAAATAGTGACAACACTAATGGAGAATATAGAGTGATAAGCCATGTTCTACAGGAGTTTGGCAGACTCTTCTAAAACTAGAAATTTTCACCCTTGTGCATTTGTCTCAGAGAAATGATAGCCTATGGCAGTGATGGCGAATTATGACACGCGTGTCAGAGGTGACACGCGAACTCATTTTTTGGGTTGATTTTTCTTTGTTAAATGGCATTTAAATATATAAAATAAATATCAAAAATATAAATCTTTGTTTTACTATGGTTGCAAATATCAAAAAATTTCTATAGCCCTAACCGGTTTGGCTCAGTGGATAGAGCGTCAGCCTGCGGACTGAAGGGTCCCAGGTTCGATTCCAGTCAAGGGCATGTACCTTGGTTGCGGGCACATCCCCAGTAGGAGGTGTGCAGGAGGCAGCTGATCAATGTTTCTCTCATCGATGTTTCTAACTCTCTATCCCTCTCCCTTCCTCTCTGTAAAAAAAATCAATAAAATATATTTTAAAAAAATTTCTATATGTGACACGGTACCAGAGTTAAGTTAGGGTTTTTCAAAATGCTGACACGCTGAGCTCAAAAGGTTCACCATCACTGGCCTATGGTTACATAAAACCTGTACACAAATGTTAATACCCCAAAACTGAGGGAAATGGCAGTGTCCCTCAATGAGTGAAAAGTTAAACTGTGGGGCAACCCCCAAGATAAATGAATGGATCGACTCAGTATTTTTAAAAAGTTACTTCTTTTCCCAATTCATCTATAGAGTAAATGCAATTTTAATAAAAATTCCAGCAGGCTTTTTCTTTCTTTCTTTTTTTTTTTTTTGGTAGATATTGAGAAGTTGATTTAAAATTTATTTGGAATGCTGTCTACAAGAGACCCACCTCAAAACAAAAGATACACATAGGATGAGAGTGAAGGGATGGAAAAATAATTTCCATGGAAAAGAAAAGAAAGCTGGAGCAATACTCATCATATCTGACAAAATAGACTTTAAAATGAAGGCCATCATAAGAGACAACAAAGGTCACTACATAATAGTAAAGGGATCGATCCAACAAGAGGATATAACCCCGGTAAACATATGTGCACCCAATATAGGAGCACCTAAATTATATATAAGAAAAAAAACTTCTAGAGGACTTTAACAGAGAGAAAGACAACAATACAGTCATAGTAGGGGACTTTAACACCCCTCTGACTTCACTGGATAGATCTTCCAGATAAAGATTTAACAAGGAAACAGACTCTAAAGGACATACTGGATGAGATGGATTTAATTGACATTTATAGAACATTTCACCCCAATGCAGCAGGATATACATTTTTCTCAAGTGCACATGGATCATTCACAAAGATGGACCACATGAGAGACTTTATAAAAGAAGATATACAAGTGTCTAATAAGCACTGGAGATGATGCTTAGCATCAGACAATGCAAATTAAAAGCACAACGAGATGCCCCTACACACCCATTAGAATGGTGAAGATTAAGACAACTAACAGTACTAACTGCTGGCCAGGATGGGGAGCACGGGCACATTCACACATGATCCCTAGCAATGGAAAGTGGTACAACCCCTTTGGAAGTCTGTTCGGCATTTTCTTATGTTGAACATATGCTTATCATCCAAAAACAGCAATCCAAAAGTAATGAAAACATATGTGCACACAAAATCTTGCACACATTTGCTCATCGCAGCTTTATTCACAATAAAAAAAGAAACTAGAAACAACCCAATGTCCATCATCCACACATTGTTGTATTCATTCAATGTAATACTACTCAGCAGTAAAAAGCAATAAACTACTGATGCATGCAACAACTTTGATATAAACTCTAAAATCATCACGCTGAGTAAACGAAGATAAACACAAAAGAGCACTTATTGTACGATTCCATCTATATAAAATTCTAGGAAATGCAAAGGAATCCATAGTGACATAGAATTGATCCGTGATCGAATAGGGCCAGGGGTAAAGGGAGGAATAAACTGCAAAAGGGCATGATGTACACTTTCTGTATTGAGATTGAGGTGGTGGTTTGTTGAGTCTATTCTACATCTGTCAATACTCTCAAATTGCAGGCTTTCTATGGAAGCAGTTTACCTTATGTAAATTATACTTCAATAAAGTTGGGGTATTTCTTATGACAATATCCTTTGAAAGAGTCTGAATATAGAAATAAATGTCATGCTGATTACCTTCAAGGAGTTCAAAATGGCTCCCTCAAATGTCACTCTTTTTCATGCCTAGAGACGGGAGGATTTGCACTGAGCCTTTTGCTTTCACTTTGTCCTATTTGTATTACTTATACTTGCAACATGGGCGAGAGGTTTAATCTGTGGCGGAGAGATTCTGAAACTTTAACCTCCTTCCCTTTAAGTCAGAGTTTGCAACCAGTTAAGCCTTCCTGACAAAATATAATGTTTAAATAACATTGCTGATTAAACCCAGAGACCGAGGAACAAAGAATAACATTCAGTTGCAGCCCAAAGTTACATGAAGTTGAAACATTTCTTAATAAAGCAATCAGCTAACATTTTTCTGAAGATGAAATTAGGGCAGAAAGGCTCCTGCCACAGTCAAATAGACTGTATCCTAATAGTGGTTTAGGGACATTTTATGAAGGCGATATCCTGTTAACTTCACACAAAGATTACCATGGGAATACAACCCGTTTCAGTACACTCTTCACTCTGCAATATCTTAAACACTTTATTGTTAAGATCAGATATGCAAAACAAACTTACCGAAGAAATGACCTAATATTCTCAGCTTTCATCTCAGATATCAGGTTCCACCGCACACTTTGATGATAGCGCAGGGTAGTAGTTGTTTCTTTGAGAGGCTTAATAAACCAGCCTGAGGGGAGAAGACACATAGGCACATATACATCACACACACACACACACACACACACACTTACTTTAGACTTTTATAAAAACTAGGGCCAAATATAGCCCTTCCCTAAGTAAGAAATAGATCTCGGTGAGCTTTATAGAAATATTCATATCAAAGGCAGGGAACCTTCCAATTCCGCTGTGCAATGCAATTTTGAGTTGGTTAAAAAGAGTTTTTATATCAGGGAAGTTCTTTTCATTTCCCCACGTTAGACATCAAGGCCTGGGCCTTCCTCTTGTTC